TGCGGCGACGCGTGCTGCCGATGGGGCATCATTCGATTCGGCAGCATCACTGGGAACTGCGAGGTCTGCTGCTGCTGAGGATCTTCCGGCAGGACCGACGGTGCAACCGCGCGGACCGGCTCCGGTCGACGGCTCTTCTGCGCTTCCGGTTCCACGGTCGTCGAGGCGTCCGACACGGTGACCTCCGGCTCCGGAGTCGCGACGCTGTCCTGGCTCTTCTCCGAGTAGTTGCTCGGCATCACGACCGCCACCGGCTCCTTCCTCGACTGCTCCTCGGACGAGTTGGCGAGGACGATGTGCATCTTCTCCGCGGTGCTGCTGGATTTCAGTCCCGCCTCCGTCAGCGCGTCCAGCGGCGCGCGAGACCCCTCGTCCGGATTGCTGGAATCTGGCTGCCGCGGATCCTGCGTCGACGACGGGGACTCCTTCTGGCCCACGACTACTTCCTCGTTCTCGTTGCCGTCCGCGTCGACGATTATGTTGGCGTTCTGCTCGACCACGACCTCGTGGGTCGACGAGCCGGCCGCGACGTGATGGTCGAGCTCGTAGCGGTCGCGGCTGCGATCGTGGGCCTGCCAAACCGATCGGTTCGCGTCCGACGCGGTGCTCGGCGTGGGCGAGGGGCCGCTGCCGGCCGGCCAGCCGCCGGACACCGTCTGCGTCGACTGGTAGATCAGGTTGGACTTCTCGAAGGAGACGGACGGCGTCGTCGCGGCGGCCTCGTGCCTCGGCTTCGTCGGCTGCGACGTGGAGGAGACGCTCTTGATCGTCTCCACCTGGGAGATCACTCCCTTGCTCGCGGAGTGCGACTTGCTCGGGGAGAGCGGCGCCGGGGAGTACTGGGTGTTGTAGCTGTTGGACGGGATCGCGTAGAACTGGCCCGGCTCGCGCAGCACCGGGCCCTCCTCCGTCTGCGTGCTGAACTGCTGCGTCGGCTCCGCGAAGCTGACGATCTTGTCCTTCTGCAGCAACGGCGGCGGCAGCATCATCGTGTACGGCTTCGACTTGTGCCCGTAGTACGGGCTCGGGTAGTAGCTCGCCGGCATCGATTGGATCCGATTCTGGTTCCTGTAGTCGACCGGCGGCCCGTTCCTGAAGCTCGTCGTCCGCACCAGCTTCGGCGGCTCCGCGCCGCTGCTACCCGTGAAGTCGTTCCTGAACGGAGCCTCCTGGTTCGCCTTGGTGAACTTCGGCCCGTCGACGAACTTGAGGAACTGCTCGGGGATCTTCGGGCTGGTCTTCTTCGCGGTGACGCCCAGCACCAGCACGTCGCGCTTCGCCGACGACTCGGTCGTGTGCGAGTCCAGCCAGTATTGAACGCGATCGAGGACGGGCGGCACGTAATCGAAAGTGGGATTGTTCTTCAGCGGGTCCCCGCGGCCGAGAGGCGTCCATTCGTCGTAGTCCATTCGGGGTGAGAACACGCGCGGCTTGCTCTCGTTTTGCCCTGCGAACAGAAACCTTGCTTTCACACTCGCGCACCGGATATGCTCCGGGAGGTGCGACCGTCGGGTCGTCGCGTGGCGGAGGACCGATTGCTGGGAACCTGGCACGCGTCACTTTGCGCGATCCGATTGATGCAACCGCCTCACGAATCATTGCAACTGTATTTCACCAATCGGGAGAACGCCAGCTTCCTAGCACTTGATACTAATTAGACCAGCGTTTCTAACGTGGGGCCGTCGCAGATGGAGGTCAATTTGATTTAAGGGTGGTAATTTGAAATTTGAAATATCGCTTCATAGATTTCACGATATTTACGTGAACAAAACAACAGAAATATTATAATAAATATTATAAAAATATGATAATATCAAAAATTATATATGTTACACAGGAGACATAGAATTTTAGAGAGCTGAGGCAAAAATCTTGGGAAATACTAGTTACTCTTTCCGCGATACTTCGCCTTTTGGTGGAAGTGCGCGGAGGAACTTCGGTGATAGACACGTTCGAAAGGTGAAGGTCACACCGCGCTATCGTTCGCCTTTTGCTTCTCACTCGTCCGATTTCTCGTCGACAACGGAATAAACGATTCGTCGGTGCACCGAGTGGGTCCGGGTTCAGCGGCGTCCCGAGCGTCCCACGGGGACGAAACGCTCCGGCAGCGGGCGCCGGTACTCGAGTCGTGTCGCATAAATACACGTGTCGCGCGGATCCGCGGATGTTCGCGTACGTCGAAACCGGAGAGGAAACGGACCCGGAGAAGGAGCACGGTTACTCCGGCTGCGCGCCTCTCCCTCCCCCTCGTCTTTTCCGCGTTCGCCCGACGCTTCCCCGCTTTCTCGTTACGTTTCTCGTCCCATTTCCGCGTAGCTAGAAGCTCGATAGAAGCTTTAATGCTTTCACGGCCTGGAATGTTGCATTCATTTCTGGCTGTCGGGCGAGAGCCGTGTCCAGGAGGAACTTGTTCCCAACGGTTCGCCAACAGTGCGGCTGGCTTCGTCAGGGGGCTAAGGGGTACCTATTTAACCCCTTCGCCTGTGATCTCTTTCTCAACTCTGATCGATACGGCTACTTTGTCATTAACACGTTGAATACCGCACGATTTCATGGTACAGAATACTTGATATGGAAAGAATATAATACTAAACCACCTGCGATTGCGATGAACGATCTGAGATGAATATCGTTCGACGTGTTCTCCGTAGAAGTAGTCACTGCCATGAATTTCGAGGGTTTTGTGTACTACTTTGTCTTTTGTATTGAAGACCAATTGTATTAGCATTGGAACTACCGAGAATTGGATACGATTAATGTGTAATCGCTAGGAAAATTGTGGCGAGAGATTATTCTCAGTTTCTTCGCATATTCATTACAGTATTCGAGGCGAGCTATTTATTTTTAAGAGCATTTCGAGTATCGAATAACTTAAAGATATCAATAATTGAATGAATATCGATACCAGTCGCTTTGATTAGTAGTTCCAGTGATAAAATCAATTAGCAACGATTCGTTTGCCAGCTCCTAAGAACGCGGTCAACGCGTAAAACCAGCGAACTCTCCCGAATTCCCGACGCCACCGTCTATCCAGAGAGGTTCGTAGAGAAGAACCTTAGCCTCGGCAGAGAAAACACTCGGAGCAACGGACGTCTGCGCCGCAGGGCGGTAAATCGGATTTTCTACCGTAAATCGCGCGTCGAACGGCTAATCGCGAGGATCGCGTGGCTCGATAAAAAAATATCGTCGGCCGTGATCCTGTTGCGAGCGTTATCTTAAGTTACAAGTTTTATGTTTTATGTGTATCGACATCGACACGCGTGAATGTTTTCTTTAGCACCGAGCTGAGCGACCTACTGACCCGACATACACGTTCGGTATACCCAGACATACGCGCATAGATGGGCGCACGCGCACGCGCGCGTTCCCTAAATTCTCAGGCAGGTAGAGACACGCGTTTATCAAACGTCTCGGTGCACGAGGCGCGAAAGTGTCCGACGAAATTTCACTCGATACCGTCGGATATCGGAAATTCCCGGGAACGGGCAGCCGACGATCGTGCCGATCGAACTTGATCGTGAAACGTTTTCCCGCAGTTTTCCGCGGTACGTCGCGCTATCGACCGTCGCGATCGCTCCTCTAGCTTCTTCCCGATCCAGGCAACGCGCTTCGCGAATGAGATCGGTAAGAAGACCGACGGCGAACTTACCAGCCTTGTCGTCGAAGCTGGACGGCACGCTTTGACACGAGAAACGGCAGATCAGCCCGGCCAGGAGTAGCGACCCGTACAGAACCGACGTGTCCGATCTCCTCCGCGTCATCTGAAACAAGAAAGCTCGGTTCGAGTCGGTCCGCAGAGGCGAAAACGGCGGCCGAGGCAGCGCGTGCACGCCAGGCGAGTTCGCGTCCGACGAATAATCCGTGAAAGGTCGCGCGACCCGTCCGAACGGAGCCGCGAATCGCGT